CTCCCGCCGCAGCCGTAAGGCGTCAGGGTACGGTTACAGCTCGCATGTTAACAACGAGCTCGCCTATGAAACACTTTCCCTCGAGGCTGCATGTTTCAGGAGCGCACCTGCATTTTTCACAATATATGTTTACACTTTTCGTAATAAAGAATGCCATTGAAAGCTGCCTTTGGTAAGAGTGGCCGTGTCATTTTCTACAATTACGCTAGTTTTTAGGAAGAATCGTCAACATCAGAGTACTTGAGCAAAGGGCAGAAGTAAACACTGATTTTTGCGTGCCTGTTCTGTCCTCTCCCGTAAGGTAGGTCGTCTCTCTTCGCTGCTGCCTCCAACAATGCAGTACGGGGCCGTATGTGATGAAAGGCTTGAACCCTTCGCCGGTGCGGTGGGGAGAAGGACGCGGTGCGGGAAGTGCTGCAGGCTGCCTGCCTCTCGCCTAGAGGGAAGCAAAATGGGGTTGATGGTGGTAGCTGCACTGAAACAAGAAATGTTTCCTCTTGGATGTGTGGTGGCGGTTTCTTTACCCGTAGGCTGTAAGTTTTCTAGCTGGTAACATTTAGATACTTTAAATTTTTTATTTAAACATAATTCCATGTCCTGAAAGTGATACCTTCATTAATAATAGTAATGCATGATGGATATTAATAATAGAAAAGGAAGAGCCGTTTGATGCTGCTTGCAGCGTGACTGCCGACCCATTGCTTCTCTGTGGGGCTGCTCCAGGCCACGGACTCGGGCACGGACTCGAAGCGGACACCAGCCGGGTTCCCGCTGGCGAGGTGCCCCGTGGCACTTTGGATTTAAGCCGCACGGAGCGCTGCCGTAAGCAGACTGGGAAGAAAGAGCCGACTGTCCCTATGGCCGTGTCATTGTATGTACTGCGTAGGGATGTACGTATGTTGTCTGTACCTACATTGTCATACGTTGTATATTGTACGTACTGCGTGGGTGCGGTGGGCCGGGTACGTGCCATGAGCAGGCAGGACGTGCGGCCAGGCAGGAGGCCAGGCCACAGCAGCTGCGGTGCTTCTGGTACTCAAGCGGTGTCATCTGTTTCTTCCCGGTACTGCCCTGTCCTCTCTTGCCAGCAAACTGAATTTAACGCTGTCCCTGTGTGCGGCTGCTGCTTCGAACTGCAAACTGCTCCCTGCTTTGCAATCAGGAAAGGGCTTTCAGGTAAAAAAACATCCTGGCTAAGCGTTAGGGACGGGGAGAGGCCTTGCTCTTCCGCGCTGCCCCTGTATGGAGGCTGCCTTGGGAATCCTTCTGTGGTGGTGGGTCTAAGGGAACAAGAGGAGTAATGAAAGCATTTGCCTTTCTCCACCCATCCTTTCTGTAAGGCAGCAAAATTTAATACGGTTCAACATTAAACTTCCCAGGTTTTGCAAGTGTCTGGAATTACCATAAAATACACTTAACTCATCCTCAGGGTCTTCAGATGTAGCGAGCACCCTTCAGCGAGAGTGAGGATGTCCGATGTTAGAGAAGGAGGGGTCCTGGCCAGGTGGGAGGCACTGGAGAGCTGGTGCCTGCTCTTCCCCTGCTCTGGGAAGAGAGGGGCTGGGGGCAGCAGAGGAGAGGGAAGGGGAAGGGGAAGGGGAAGGGCCTGTCCTGTCAAAAATAAATACCTGATCGTGTCTTTGTGCAGCAAGAATGAGAGCTGCTTTGAGCTCCAGCAAGTCAAGAGCTGTTCTGCAGGTACCTGGATGATGGAACCGCTGCTGCCCTCACCCCCCCCCACCGCCCTCTAC